CCCTCTATCACCCACAGAGCAGGGCCAATCAGCGGTTGTTGGGGCGCCACCACTGTCACACTCAGGGCAGGGCCGATGGGGAGGTTATGGCTCTACCCCGTCACACACAGAGCAGGGCCCGTGGGCGGGGGGAGTGGGGTTGGGGCACCACCCCCTGTCACACACAGAGCAGGGCTGATCAGGGGGTTGGGACGCCACACACTGTCACACACAGAGCCGCAGGGCGATCAGGGGGTTTGGGCGCTGCACCCTGTCACACTGATCTGGTGCCAGGAGGCCTCACGGCTCCGCTGATCCCGGTGCTGGGAGGCATATTACCCTTTTACTATATAGGATAGAGGGCTGGGGGCTGGCTGGTTTGCCCTGAAGGGTGCCCTGGATCAGGGTGGGGGTCCCCACTGGGGTGCCTGGCCAGCCTGGATGAGGGGATGATGGCTGTTTGCAGCTGGTCACACACCCTTCAGGGTGGGGGTCCCCACTGGGGTGCCTGGCCAGTCTGGGTGAGGGGCTGAGGGCTGCTTTCAGGCTGGTGGTTTTGACTGAGGCTCCCAACCACTCCTTTTTTTCTTTTTTTTTTTTTCTTCTGGGTCAGCTTTAGCTCTGGCTCTAGCTCTGAGGCTTCCGCTGCTGGTTTGTTTGCAGTTCTATAATCGAAACAATGTATAACTTCAGCTCTGATTTGTTAGAATGTTTCAAACTGCCAGCTCAGAGTCCGGCAAGGCGGGGAACGTTGGAGTCTGCAGTCACGGGAGCAAGCAAGCCTCACGTTCGCTTGGCTGACAGTTAATTTGCATAAGGATACGCTGATTAGCCAATCAGAAGGGTAGCGGTCGTACGCCAATTACCATTTTTCTCTTTTATTAGTGTAGATATCTTAGAAACCAAGCCACAGCTCAGCTTTTTCTTTGGTCAAATACTTAACAAAATATTGGCAGATATTGATTCATCAAAGAATTGAATCATTCTTTGTCAAGTCTAGGCAGGTCTACATCAACTTGCTCAGTTACAGATAGTTGAGATAGTTCAGAAACAAAAGATTCATATGATGATAATAAGCATAGCAATAATAATTATTCCTTAGTAATGGCCAATAATACCAAAAGCTAATGGCCCTGGTTAGTGTTGCTAAGTGGTTAGAGCCGTGGTCGGCAAACTGTGGCTCGCCAGCCACATGCGGCTTTTTGGCCCCTTGAGTGTGGCTCTTCCTAAGCCTTAGGAGTACCCTAATTAAGTTAATAACAATGTACCTACCTATATAGTTTAAGTTTAAAAAATTTAGCTCTCAAAAGAAATTTCAATTGTTGTACTGCTGATATTTGGCTCTGTTGACTAATGAGTTTGCCGACCACTGGGTTAGAGCATTGGTCTACACACCAAAGGTCTCAGGTTTCATTTTTGGTCAATGACATGTACCTGGGTTGCAGGTTTGATCCCCACCTTCAGGAAGCCACCCATTGTCTTCACTATCAGAGAAGTGCAAACAAGGATCCCGGACGCTGGTAAACCTTGAACCCATGGCAAGGGCCAGAGTTATGTACCGATTGTCTAGTCCAGACAATGGGGGCTCAAGTTATTTCCTGATCAAATAGTCTCAGAGTAAATCCTTCTAATATTTACTGACCTTTAAGATAGTCTGTCTGTTACTGCAATTACCTGCCTAAGAGCTAGATGTGTATCCAATATTGAATAAAAGGCTGGCGAGGCCTGGGCACCAGGGGAAGTCCTTTCTCTTGCATTGGGCTTGCCCACCTGGCCCCCAATATTTCCAAATTATTATTTCTTGTCTCATCTCTTTCATTTGCGTGCAACCCCTTCTCCAGATCCTGAACTCTGAACCACGCGGGATGTGGGGAACATTCACACCCACCCTGGGGGTTGGGTGCATGTGGGAGGCAACCAATTGATGTATCTCTCACATCAATGTTTCTCTCTCTCTCTCTCTCCCTCCCTCCCTCCCTCCCACTCTATTGAAAATCAATGGAAACATATCCTGGGATGAGGATTAACAAAAATAAATAAATAAATAAATAAATAAGAAAATGGAAAGATCCTTTTTAATGTGCCCAGTCATCATGCAGTGTTTTGGGGTGCATTGTAAATTATATGTTGCCTCAGGTGGGAGGGGAGTGTAAGAGATCAACCAAAGGAGTTGTATGCAATGCATATAATCATAACCAATGGACACAGCCAGTAGGGGGGCAGGTACATATGCTGGGGGCTGGGAACGGCTGGGGAGAGGTCAATGGGAGAAAAAGGAGACATATGTGATACTTTCAACAATAAAGAATTTAAATTAAAAAAATTTATATGTTGCCTCAAAAATTGCCCTTATTGAGTCCTGCTGCCGTGTACTCATGGCCAGTGTCATCCCTCCCCCTGAGTGTGGCTGGCAGAAGTGATGGGATGTCACCTCAGAGATTAGGTTGCAAAATTCTGTGGCTTCCATCTTGGGTGTTCTCTCTCACTTTTTCTTGTTTGCTTACTCAGGTGAAGCTGGGGGGCCATGCTGCAAGCTCCTGTATGGAGAAGCCCATCTGGCAAGTAACTAAAGAAGGACCCCAGTCAACAGACAAGGGAAAATTGAGCCACTCAGTCAACACCCTCCAGGACTGACACCTGCCCACACCTATGTGAGTGGTCTTGGAAGTGGGTCTTCCCCCATTGGAGCCATCAGATGGAACTGCAGCCTGGCCTTCAGCATGACTGCACTCACAGGAGAGACTTTGAGCCAGCCACGCCTCGCTAGGCACCTCCAGACTTCAGACCACAGGAACCTGAGATGGTAAACGTTTGTTGTTTTAAGCTGTCAAGTCATGCCAGGTCATAACTAATAGGTATATATGTACTAATATTGAATTAGAGTGTCTTTTGTTAGAGTTCTAGCAGCAAATAGAGGACACTTAACTGGGATTTTGAAGAAAACTGTGGGCAATGTTAGGAAAATGAATGAGGTATGAAGAGGCAGTCAGGTCTCACAACAGTGAGAAGTCTTTAACATACCTTGCCTTGAAGGATGTGATAAAGGGTGTTCTATTTTTAAAAATCTAAAATACTTTTTTATATTATAAAAAAAATAGGAGAAAAAGTACAGGCATACCTTGTTTTATTGCAGTGGTTCTCAACCTTGGCTGCACATTAGAATCACCTGGGAACCTTTTTAAAATCCTGATTTCTGGGCCTCATCCTCCGGAAATTCTGTTTCTTTGTTACTAATGTTGTGGCCCCACCCCATAACAAAGAAACAGAATTTCTGGAAGATGAGGCCCAGAAATCAGGATTATAAAAGATTCCCAGGTGATTCTAATGTGCAGCGAAGGTTGAGAACCACTGTTTTATTGTGCTGTGCTTTATTGAGCTCAGGTGTTGCTTTTTTTTTTTTTTTTTACCAATGGAAGGCAAGATCCCCCACCAGCAAAAAGATTAAGACTCACTTGATTGCAACATTTTATTACAGTGGCCTGGAATCAGACCCATCATATATTTGAGGTATGCCTGTAATGCTACTATCAAAATTATTTTGTATTGTCTTAGAGAATAATGCAGCTTTTAAGAAAATGAATGGAATAGTATTTTTAATTAGGAATACTATTTTTAATATTAGTTTTAATTAGGAATGAACTGTGCTATATTTTTTCTTATTTTAATCTCATAAACATTTTGCATGTTATTATAGCACATGCTCTTCACAAGCACTATATTGCCAAGGGAATAGTCCATCAAATGCATCTAACGAAGTTTACCTAACCATTCCTCTTCTGTTTAATGTGTAAGTGGCTTCCTGTTATCTTTGCTGAGTTAAATGTTATGGACATTGTTAGATTGCTAATACTTAGTTCCAAACTACTTTCCTAAAAGCATGCACCTGGTCAATGTACTCTCTGAGGGTTTTTCTCTGAATAGCCCGCTCTGTGCTACAAATGAAAACTAATATCCCAGAGGCTGTCCCCTTATTCAACTCTACAGCCCTCCAATGCCCCTAATGGAGCTCTAGGAAGGAACATGAAATGTCTACTACATGCCAGGCTCTGTACCTTTCATTCATTCATTCATTCATTCACTCACTCACTCACAAGTTATGTTGAGTGTCTACTAAGGGTCAGGTACTGCTTACACAGTAGTAAGCTACCAAGTAACCTCAGGAATGCTCGGCCTGTGTCAGAGTGGTCTTCAAGGTGTGCACAGTGGACAAGATGAGCACGCAACTAACTGAACAAGTAAATTCAGTGTAATAACTGCCAGTAAGAAGTGGAGGGTGCTATTTTTGAAGTGTTTTTCTATATCTTTCATAATCTTCTGACGTTGAGTGTGTTTTATAGTAATTCGGACGAAATTTGCACAGATAAAACCAAGAGATGAAATAAGACAAAAATAACCGATTAAAAAGAGAAACCTCGCCCCCTGAAACTAGTTCTGCCCTCCTACGGCCCCTCCCTGCACTGCAGCCTCCGCCCTACACTTTGCTCCGCGCTGCCCTTGGAGGGCTCCCTCTCCGGGATCCCAGCCCAGGCTTCTTTGCTCGCGAGAGTTTCCCCGTCTTCTCGCGGGATCCCAGGCTGCCGCAGGGGAAGGCGGCGGAGGAGAGTGGGGCTTTCCGCTCTATCACACTCCCCAGGCCCCGCCCCCTTCGAGCTCCCCGCCCAGCCGACTTGGTTGCACGTGTATTTGTTGTGATTCGCCCTCACGTGACTGCGGAAGTACCGGCCCCTCAAGCCCCGCCCTCAAGATGGCGGCGCCCAGTGCTCGGGGTCGCGACGTGCTTCACAGCGGGTTATAGCGTGGGCGGTGTTTCCGGGCCATGGACCGGCCCGGCTTCACGGCCTCGCTGGTGGTGAGTGCGGGCGGGAGAGGGGTGCTCGGAGGGCCGGAGTCCGGCCCAGCGCTGGTCGGGGCCCCTCCGCACTGGGATGTCTCCCGGTTTGGCGGGAACTGCGCTCTCGTCCCAGGTCACCGAGCCTGGGAGCCAGCGCGGGGCGCGGGCCGCTGCCGGCTCTGTCGGGACCGGGTCCTTCCGCCCCGACGCCGGGAAGAGACGGGGAGGGGCCGCCCGACTCCGCGTTCTCCGCACGGAGACCGTTTCCCTACGTAAAAGCTTCCATTGATGTCACTGCACTGGAGAACTTGGTGTAATATATAGGAATATAGCAACAGAACCGGACACGCGCACCCAGGTCGCGCAGAGCCTCTGTCCCAGACCATGTTGTCATGTTCTGTGTTTTTTCTCAGTCTCGGAAAAATGACTCATTCATTCATTCATTCTTTGAATAATGAATCTGGTTATTCTGCTTCCTGTGAGACAGGAGTGCTTGATTCCTTAGAAAACAACTAGAATCAACACTTACATAAAAAAGGAACAGTCCTTTAATAAACATTTTGAAGCCTCTCGGGGCAGGTCCAGTAGGGGATTCTGGATATGGCAGTGAGTACGATAGAGATCGGCTCGTTGTGAGAAGAAAAAAAAAACTTTTAAAAAGCTTCTCACCGAAAATGGAGGCCCAGCGGCGTTTCCTCGTTTAATTACCGAGTGTCTGTCGCTGCGGGTGTTGGCGATAACCCGGCGAGCAGGTGCCCCCGCGGGGTCCGGGGTGGAGACCAGGGAAGGGCTGCGGGAAGGTGACGCGGACTGGCTGGTTGCACTGTTCCCCGCGAGGCGGAGGGAGGCGCCGCAGCCAGACTCGCGGGACGGTGGTTTTCCATCTACATCTGCTGAGACTGTAAGCTGGGTCTTAGAGATGCAGAGGAGTGTGTTACCACTTTCCAGGAATTTTCCTGTCTAGCCAGTGAGATCTCAGTAGTGGTGCTTTTTGTTTTTTTTTTAATCCTCACCGGAGGATATGTTGTTCATTGATTCCAGAGAGAGAGAGAGAGAGAGAGAGAGAGAGAGAGAGAGAGAGAGAGAGAGGAAGGGAGAAGGAGAGAGAAACACCAACTGGTTGCTTCCCATATGGGGCTTGAACCCGCAATCCAGGTTTGTGCTGTGACTGGGAATCGAACCCACGACCCTTGGGCGCACAGGCCGACGCTCCAACAGACTAAGCCACACCTGCCCGGGCAGCAGCAGTAGTTCTGACAGACAGCGTTGTTCTAGGAACTGGGGTGAGCTTTTTATACGCATCGTCTCAATTAATTCTGTCGTAGTTGAAGTCTTATTCGAGTTCTCCAAATGGCAGGACTGAGATACAGGGAGGTTAGAGGACTTGTCCAAAGTCACACAAAGGAAATGCATTTGATGTAGGTCAGTGTTGGAGAACAGATTCCAGCCCTAGCAACGTAGCCTGGGATTCCATGCCCTTAGCTGCTCCTTGATACTCTCTCTGGAGTTAGGAGCAGCTGCTTTTTTAAAAACAGGTGAGTGCCCAAGTTAACAGAAGAACAATGGTTTTAAATTTTACTAAAGTGTACACATGTTGGAAGGTATGCTTTTATTTTTTCATGTTACAGAGGTTTAAATTTGGGTCAAGGGGTACAAGTTTCAAGGAAGTTAGGTTTTATTCCAACTAAAGACATCATTTTATTTATTCAACACACAATTTAACTGCCGTGTATTCTGGGCACTGTGATTACCCTTGGAGATACCATGGCAAACAAACCAAACCCAAAAGATAAGTACTCTGAGAGAAATAAACTGAGGTGGGATAGAGATGGAAAAATATTGGCGAACCTACTTGATTTTTTATATTTATATTTTTTCATTCATTCGTTTTTTTAAAATCTTTATTGTTGAGAGTATCACAGATGTCCTCCCCTATTCTCCCCCCTGCCACCGACCATCCGGTTCCCCCATGCCCCAGACCTTCTCCACCCTATTGTCTGTGTTCATGAGCAATACATATATGCATATACTTTCTTTGGTTAATCCCAACCCCCCTTTCATCTGAGATTCGTCAGTATGTTTCATGTTTTCATGCCTCTGGCTCTATTTTATTCATAAACTTGTGTTTATTAGATTCCACATATAAGTGAGATAATGTGATACTTGTCTTTCTCTGACTGGCTTTTCCCACCTATATAATCATCTCCAGGTCCCTCCATGCTGTCTCAAAGGGTAAGAGATCCTTCTTTTTTACAGTTGCATAGTATTCCACTGTGTAGATGTACCACAGCTTTTTTATCCACTCATCTACTGATGGGCACTTGGGCTGTTTCCAGATCTTAGCTATTGTAAACTGTGCTGTTATGAACATAGGGGTGCATATATTCTTTGTGATTGGTGTTTCAGGATCCCTAGGATATATTCCTTGAAGTGGCGTCACTGGGTCAAATGGCAGTTCGATTTTTAATTTTTTGAGGAAACTCCACACTGTTTCCCACAGTAGCGACTCCAGTCTGCATTCCCACCAGCAGTGCACGAGGGTTCCTTTTTCTCCACATCCTCGCCAGCACTTGTTGTTTGTTGATTTATTGATGGTAGCCATTCTGGCAGGTGTGAGGTGGTATCCCATTGTTTTAATTTGCATCTCTCTGATGATTAGTGATGAACATTTTTTTCATATATCTCTTGGCCATTTGTATGTCCTCTTTAGAGAAATATCTATTCAAGTCCTTTGCCCTTTTTTTCAATTGGATTGTTTGTCTTCCTTTTGTTGAGTTGTATGAGTACTTTCTATATTTTTGAAATTAAGACCTTATCAGATCTGTCATTGGCAAATATGTCTTCCCATACAGGGTTCCCTTTTCATTTTGAGGATGGTTTCTTTTGCTGTGCAGCAGCTTTTAGTTTGATGTAGTCCCACTTTTTTATTTTTTCCTGCCTGCCTCTTCTTTCTCTCCTCTTGAGTACCTCAC